ATAGATTAGGAGGAAGAGTGATGGATGACTTGTAGACCCAATAAAGTGCTGAAGGACCCTCGCTGTCTCTGCAGAAGACCTTGACATATGAAGGGCCTCCTCCTTCTCCTTTGTAGAGCAGGAGGGCAGTCTGCTTCTCAGTCTGTCAGTCATTTGTGTCTTGTACACAGAATGAGCACAGTGTCTATAACAGTACGTACGTGCTTAAACAGATTGTGTAATTTTTTCCAGCAAATTGAAAGATAAAATATCTGACTGGTCTGATGGGTATCTTCTTTCCACTTATTTTCTTTCCCCTAATTTTACTAATGCATTCTTTCACTGGTTCTATCACTCAGGTAAGTACAAAATACAGCCTTAACTTGGGGATTGGGAGTGAGATTGAGATGGAAAGAATAGATTTGGGATGGAAGGCACCAAAAAGTGAGGTAAGGTTGAATGGTACTGAATCTAGTTCTTCAGTTCTCATCCTCTCTGATTTTTACCTTCATTTGGGAGCTCTCTTTTGTTAGCTGTCATGAAATATAACCTCCCAGCTCTCCACTGACTTCTTTTTTAAATTTTATTTTTAATTGACAAGTTAAATTATATATATTTATGGTGTACAACATGATGTTTTGCTTATTTGCTTCTCAAATCTCAGTTTTCCTTCCTTCCTTCCTTCCTTCTTCCTTCCCTCCTTCCCTCCCTCCCTCCCTCCCTCCCTCTCTCTCTCTCTTTCTCTTTCCTTCTTTCTTTCTTTCCCTCCCTTCCTTCCTTCCTTCCTTCTTTTCTTCCTTCCTTCCTTCCTTCCCTCCTTCCCTCCCTCCCTCCCTCCCTCTCTCTCTCTCTCTCTCTCTTTCTCTTTCTTTCTTTCTTTCTTTCTCTTTCCTTTCTCTCTTTCTCTCTTTCTTTCCTTTCTCTACATGCACCATGGGCTCTTCTTCCTCTCCCTGGTTTAGAGCACAGGAGGCTTTAAAATACATAAAATATTAACTATCAGTTAATGTAGCTAAGTGCTTTTCCCTAAATAAAAAATGTAGACTAAAAATATATATGGAAAATACAAAAACACAATATATTATGGCCAGGCGTGGTGGCTCACGCACTTTAGGAGGCCGAGGCGGGTAGATCACCTGAGGTCAGGAGTTTGAGACAGCCTGGCCAACATAGTGAAACCCTGTCTCTACTAAAAGTACAAAAATTACCCGGGTGTGGTGGCAGGCATCTGTAATCCCAGCTACTCAGGAGACTGAGGCAGGAGAATCACTTGAACCCAGGAGGCGGAGGTTGCAGTGAGCCGAGATTGCGCCACTGCACTCCAGCCTGGGTGACAGAGTGGGACTCCATTTCAAAAACCAACAAAAAATAACAAATTACAAATGTGTGAAGCAGTAACTTAGTTCATATAACGCAATAACAGTATAGTAATTGTCTTGGTACATTTTGTGCTGCTATACAGGATACCCGAGACTGGGTAATGTATAGAGAAGAGAAATTATTCTCTTACATTCTAGAGGCTGGGAAGTCTAAGATCAATAGCTGGCAACTATTGTCTGGTGAGGGCCTTCTTGCGCCTCACGTGGTGGAAGAGAGAAGGGCAAAAAGGAATAAACTTCCTTGGTGGAGTCCTCTTAAAATGGCATTAATTCATTTATGAAGGTGGATTCATCATGATCTAAACACCTCCCAGAAAGCTCCATCTCTCAATACTGTTGCCTTAGGGATTTGACTTCCAGCCTATGAATTTTGAAGGACACATTCAGACCATAGCAGTAATCACGATACACAGTTTTTGAGGACTCCAAACCAAGTACTCTTCCTCCTCCACCACAGACATTAGGTACTTAAAAGTTCTTAAGGTCTGTTGCACTTAAGATGTGTTAGCCTTTTTACTTAGAGACAATTAACCTCAATAATAACAGAGATAAACAAACCAGTTTTCCATTAGAAATCATTCTGGATTTGTTGAACAAAGACCACAACTTCCTTCTGATGGTCTCAGTTGTTTTCCTGGTAAAGCTATGTAGCATGGCTGTTGGTTTTGGTTTGGTTCATCCAGCTCACAAACCCACATTTCACTTTCCAAGGTGGCCAGAGACAACCCCAATAATGACAGAGATAAACAGACTAATTGTCTTTAGAAATCTTCCCAGGTTTGTTAACCAGAGACTGGATGTCCCACTATCACCTTACTCAACACAACCCCTCAAATTGATACTAAGTGACTCAGCTTTTTTGTGTATCACACCATCATTTTGAAGTCTAGAAATCTTAATTTGTACTCTAACTCACCACTCTACTTCAATGTCAAATCTCAGTTTCTCCCTCCTCTTCCTTCCTTCTTTCCTTCCTTCCTTCCTTCATTCTTCCTTTCTTTTCTTTTCTTTCTTTTTTCCTTTTCTTCTTCTCAACTCTCTTTCCTTTCTTTCTTTCTTTCTTTCTTTTCTTTCTCTCTCTCTTCTTCTTTCTTTCTTTCTTTCTTATCTTCTTTCTTCTTTCTTTCTTTCTCTCTCTCTCTTCTCTTTCTCTTCTCTTCCTTCCTTCCTTCCTTTCCGTTCCTTCCTTCCTTC